TTTTGCTATATATATCATCCCCTTTGTGTAGAAGGCTGCATGAACGCATGCTGAACCCAGCACAGCCTCATCAGGCACTGCAGAATGTAACCACAACTTCTCTGAATTGGAGAACAGCCCTCTGCTGCTGCTTTCCATCCAGCAGAAATTAATCAAGCAATTAAGATGGGACCGCAAATGGCCACTTAAGCATGAATCCCTTAAGTTAAGTTCTCACAATACTTACTGTCATGCCATACAGCGGAAGATGCCCATGGACTTTAAACTGATTTGATGCTGTCAGGCCTCTACTTGTGTACAACAAAATATCATTAAACTAAAAAGCAAGAATAAGTGTTATTAGAACGGTGTCGGTGTGTATGTATGTAGAAAACAAAATCAGAATGGTAAATATGGGAAAGCTAGCCAGTACTGGCTGACTATTTATATGGCAGTCCTAATGCATGAATCCAAAATCCTGGCTTCCACAAGATTCCAGTATTAGTGCCTGTTCTTCTCCCTGCCTGCCTTCCCAGCTAGTCTCAGGCACATTCCCAGGTTTCCACTGGGTATCTTCCGATGCTGTCTAATACTCCCTTTCTGATCTCTGGGTCAGAACAAGCCACAACAGCAGTGAAACCCAATAGCCCATTTCACACTCTGCTGCACTTTGAAGCTATGGAAGGTAAGTGTGTTTCACCAATATTTTTTTCTGATTTGTGTGGAGAGATAAGCAAGCATGTCCTGAGAGGCGTGTCCAGCTTAACTCTCATGAAGTAAGGGGCCATCTGTTATTCCACATATTCAGAAGGAAGCTGTGAGACTCGGTTTAAGGTAGGTGGCTTTAGGTTAGAAACATGAAGGTGAAGAGAGCAAATACCTCAATTTTGCAGAGCTTCTTGCATGTAACAGCAGCTGTCAAAAGCATGTCAAATGATCACCTGCATTGTGTTGCTGTAACACGAATGGTGTATTTTCACTGTGCCACCTGGGTCAAAGGATGTTTTTCTCAAACCAGACAGTTGCATCAAGAAAAATCATACTCTGTGGTGTGAAACAGAGCTCTCCCAAAGACATCTACAACCCGACAGTAGTAATTCATGAAGCTTTGTGGATCGGCCACTAGAGGGGGATTGAACTTTGCCAATGATCACACTTGTACTCTGAGTCTCAGAATACCAACTCGGGATTTTCTCTCCAAAGAGATTTTGGTGCTCGAGACAGACCAAAGGCTTCCTTGAAAGCACAAGCAACTGATAAAAACTAAGACTGACTTGAGAGTCTAGTCTCAATTTTAAAAATGTTTTACACAAGTACAATATTGAGGTATCAGCTGGTAATAAGAATTGTGATATGCAAGAAAATATGCGCCATATTCTTTAGGCTTCCCTTTAAAGGCAGAGGATAATCCTACTCGGGTAGATTTAGCGGCTATACCTTGGGCTCATTTGAACGATTAGTTGTCAAACATCTCGTAAAACCTAGCACACTCGCAAGCTGTTCTACACACCCACCGTCTTCACCTTTTGCATACGAGGAGCCAAGGAAGTATTTTCCTGCCACATTGCACTGACTCTTTAACGTTCTGCTCTGTAACGCTGGACTATAAAATCTGTGCACTCTGCCGGGCATCCCAGTGCCCCGGCACCAAGGGCTCAGCGGCAGGAGGATGGGGAGCCTGGGAGCAACTCGGCTGGCGAAGGGAGGAGAGGAGAGGGAGAAGGAGAGGGAGAGGAACCATCTGGTTGGCTCTTCTGGGTCAGAGACTGAGTGAGATCGCCGTAACCTGAAAATGCTGCGAGTGCTGGTGGAAGGAGATAATCTTTCCTAGTGCAAGAGCTACAAAATGCATCTCCAGGTAAAGGCAGGTCTTTCAACATGCTGGGCACTCATGGGCTGAAACTGGATGGTTTGTGGAGAAACTCGGTTCTGTACTGTGTCCTGACAGCATTATGGGGATTATTGTTTGTATCACCACGAGTTACTCTTTATCTTCTTTTCTGGACATGATCACTAACACTGGTGCCCCTTTCCATTTTATAATGACTCTGCTTTTATTTAACACAATGTTGATAAGAGATATTATTTTGTCAGGATATTCACAGAGTCACATAAAAACAAATAAGTTTTATCTCTGTAAGAAGCAGTTACAAAGACAATATTGGGTTTGGAGTGAAACATAAGTTCTAAACAAACAGCTACATAGTGATGTATTATGTTAACTTAAATAAGGCTGTTCAGAAATACTTACTGTAATTCAGAATTTATGTCTAACAGTTTGCTTAATAGTTGCTTACAGTTACATTTCATTATATAAAGAAAAAACTGCCTTCTTGCTTACCAGGAAGAACATCCGTTGCTGTAAACCTTTTCCAGACAACTTACTAAGACTGCCCAGTCTAATGAACTCCTGTTGGAAACCAATACAAAACAAAGATGTATCTTCTGCAAAAGTGATGACAATTTTTTATTATGCAAAACCAAATATAACTACTTGGTCATAAGGACTGACCTGACTATCAGTCACCAAGACTTTTTTTCTTTTCTTTATTAAATATGTTAAAGATACTATTTATAGAACAATTTCTTTTCATTTGTAACTGTCTTTAGGATAAACTCTTTCACAGTCTTTCATTCATTTTAAGAAAATTCAGCTAAGCAAAATTTTCTCTACCAAACATTGAGTCCTTCAGACAGCTCCCTCTTTCACTGGTTTTGAATGTGTATTTTTCGCGTTACAAATGATGTAAAAACTAATGATGAATTGGCCTGTATGTTATTGGTTAGCTTCTGTTGTGCATATGGCATACATAGCTCTTACGGAGATGGAAAATCAGTTGCACAAATCAACACCATCCTCGACAACAGAAGAAGAAGAGGGACATTTGTCTGGCAGTGGGAGTTATCCTAGTACCACCCATGTTGTTTAATACAGTACATTAATTCAGACCAAACTGCTTAAGAAAGAATGTTAGGGATGGACTTATAGGAAAAGTAGCACATCTGAAACTTTCAAAGTGCTGGATTTCTTGGGCTTACGGTGAACTATAAGTAACTCACCCTTCCATTTATCTGAAACCCATGAAAATAACATTTTTCAGTAACTCCCTCCAGCTTCTGCCAAGAGGTTTATATTTATTTATTACAGTCTTTCGAAGGTCATTCTACTCATAATTGTGCATGTAAAAGGCATATAAAGCATCACAATCACCTGCAGCTTAGCAATAAACTGGCTGTCGAAGATTAATCTGTTCAGAGAGAGACTCCAGTTACCTCAGGGTTGCTGTGATGTGTCCAGTCCCCCGACCTGCACTGCGCAGGGACTAACTAAGGGGTGGAAAAGTGGCTAGAGGTGGTTATCCCTATAGCAACGTAAGCTCATGTTTCTAGAGAGGCCACTGGAAGCTGTTGTTGGCCACCAAAGAATATTAATCATAATTACTGTTCATACAGTATCACCTAATGGTCATTAGCAGGCAAACACCATGCGAACACATGAATTAAGAGCTGCAGGTCATTGTAATCGGCAAGCACAGCTTGTTTTAATGTCCAATACAGGAACCAGCTCGGTGGCAGCAGAAGCCCCAGACTGGGGCAAGGTGAAGAGGATGGTTACCCACAGCCACCTTTGGGACAGCTGAATCGCCAGCCTAACATGAGACTTCTCCGAGAAGTGGAGTTCAGCCACCTTTGGGTAAACCCAGCCGTGG